TTTTTTTTGGAGTACATGCAAAATTTGATTTTTCCAAGCATACCGTGAGGATCCAGAAAACCCAACGTAAGTTTCGAGATCAGCCCTAAAAATACACCTAGAAAATTACATTCCTTCTTGTAATGACTTTTTTCTCTTTTTGATACAATCAATTTGAGCTTGGTTCATCTAGCAGATACGCTATCAGAGACTTGCAATTGGTCTACTGTCCTCTGAAAATTCTGTGTTTCTGCAACCCATCAACAATTTGGATCCAAACGAATACACCTTGAAATTAATTACTGTGCCTTTCTTTCCTTTATTCATCTGATAAAATAGTGATAAAATCTGTATTTTTACGGTTGCCAAGTTCCGATGTTGTAAATACTTTCACTTACCAGTTCTCAATTTGTCTGCGGATGGCGGCTCCTCTTCGGAACTGATTGTTATTTCTCCTGCAACTTGAATTTTCAATAGAATAATTAAAAGAAGGAACCTTTACTAAAAGAATTACAATAACCCCTAAAAACAGTAATCCTGTTTAACAACATAACCTCATTTGGTAGGGAGTGTACACTCATGAAAAAGGAATGCCGAAACACACTCAGCTCTTCCTGGACCAACTTTGAAAAAAAACTTTGATTTTCCGCTACTTTGAACAACTTTTCTCAGATAAAATTTGATTAGATGAAAAACAAAAAGGGGCGAGATTCCCAAAATACTGATAAATTTTGATAACAAGTTCGAAAACTTAGATAACGGATTTGTTGGAGGTAAAAATTCTTCGTCTCAATTGCCAAACCTAATTCTGGAACCAACGCCTGCTTAAAATTACAATTTTTCTTGTCATTTTTCCTTCCAAAAGACAATGGACAAGATCAATTGGACACAGTCCAATAACAATGACTTAGGAGACTGTGCAAACAATTAAACTTAATTATCAGCTGCAAATCTACTGCATCATTTATTTTTTTTTCCTCCTATACATATTTAATTTGAAGATTAAATATAACCCTATTTTCAGTTTCCTTAAAGAACAAAGTGATTTCTTAATCCTCTGAAAGCACCTGAAGGAGACTAATATTTAACCCCCTCTGAAAATGCTCAAAGGTTCCTCGACAAAAATGCCACAAGATGGAGGAGCTTACACCCCAAAATGTCCTGCTTCATTGAACTCAGATAAAGAAACTTCTTGTCAATTTTCCTCTTGAAGTAATGGTCTGGCAAAACTCCTTGTAGTTTTGTAATTAAAATGTTATCCTTGCAACTGCTAAATAGTGTTAATTCTCTGACAGAGGAATGTTGATCCTACAGTTCCTCTTACGAGAGAATAAATTAAAGACATTCTCTTTTCCCTTTTAGAAAACAGACGAGCATCATTCCCTAACGGCAACGATGAGGAGGGCACCTGAATTATCAAAGTTTTTCCCCTATTGCCAACTATGATTGCTTATCGTGAAAATGCCACCAATCAAAAAAGTAGACGTTGAACTGTCTTTCTTAAATACCCCTCAAACATGTATCATTGTCTGGTTCTCAGAAAATATCAAGAGAGGGAGAGAAAATGAGGTTTTAAGCCAAGTTATGGCAGCCTTTGTGCTATGGATAGTCCAGATGTATTGAGTCTTTCCTTACCTCCTCTCAAGTACATCATAATCGTTGACAAATTGCCAGCCTCTTTAACTGAAATTTGTTTTTTGAACTGCTATGAATTGGACCTACTACATTCCAACATATGGAAATAGGAATATGAAGTGCACATCCTATTCCACTTGTAATTTTTTTTCAACTGTAACCATTGCAACTTTACTTATGTACGAGGGTCGTTCCAAATAAAAGTATCTTTTTGCCGTAACTTCTTTACTACTGCAAGAAATAAAGGTCTGAAAAAAACTGTTCATTGGTCATGATGTCCCCTTTCTTGCAAGGTTTTATTTTTCCTTTAAAATTTGGTTCTGCAGGATGTCAAAAAAAAGTTGTTTTTTGTGAACTCACCTCCGGACCACATGGGTCCAAAATTTCACGCAACCAGTCCGTCCGAAATTTAAACAAAACGTGAGACAAAATGTACCGTTGGACAAGCTTATTAATTCCCTCAGCATACAACTCCTTGTAGATGAACGATATTTCTGGGTAACTCAATGATCCGATAAGAAAGCCCCCTAGAACGCTTGTGATGCAATTTCACAAAAAGTAGCTGAAATACAACTAATACCATGCTGATGTCCACATTGTGGTGCATCTTTGGTGATCTAATAAAAAAAGAACCTTTAGCTAAGAATTGTGGCTGTCTGATGTTACAAAATCCTGATTGCACTTTGACACCGAGTAGTTGCTGCGCCGATGTACCAACATGGAATTTTAAACCCGTTTGGTGGTGAGGTGGGTTCACAAAAAAATAACTTTTCTGCCATTCTACTGAAAAAAATTTAAAATACTATAGCTCGTTAATAAGCTGACATTATGACCAATAAGCGGTTTCTTACGGATTTTAATTTTATGCAGTAGTGTAGAAGTTTCAGCAAAAAGATACTTACTTTTGGAAGTCTCTTCTATTTAAAATCTGCCCCTTCTTTAACTTTTTAAAAATTACCACTCCTAAACTTCTGGGAGAAGTATAGCGGTTTTGCATTCAAGTTTGTTCTACTATTTCACCTTATTAACCATGAGCCTTGGCCGACTCAGAGAACTGACCCTGATAGTTGCAGGAAAGAGGTGATGAACAAAGATGTTTTGTCAGAAGCCTCAAGTATCCAACTTTTTTCTTTCTAGCATTTACTTTGGATTCACATACCATTCATATTTACTTAGCATTAACATTGAAGGTTTCATTTATCGTTGTAACATTTTTCTTCATCGACTTGTTCCTGCAACAGTTCCACTATTCCGACGAAGTCTAAACCAACCTTGTGATACGAAATGTGTTATCTACGGTGCAAATTTTAATTCCTAACCGTAGCTTCCCCCTCAGGAATGGGAAATATTAATACTGTGAGTAATTTCCACGATGTCTTACCCAGACATCATGGCTCCTGCGGAGGAATCGATGCAGGTGCTGGTTGCAGTGGAGGTTGTGGTAGAGGCTGCAGTGGAGGTTGCTGTGAAGGTTGTGGAGCAATTATTTCGGTGGGTGGTCCTACATGCCCACGGCCCCAGCTTGTCCTCCTCCCACGCATTGGAATGTCTGAAAGAGAGAATCCAATAGTTGATCAAAAGATGAAATTTCATAAATAATTTGAAACAATAAAAGCACTTTGGAGGACCAGAAATAACTTCCCAATACTGCCTATTTTTCCTACAGTGAACGACTAATACACTTTCATGTTCTTTACGAAGTTGGAGGCAACTGGAAAATTATCTACTTTAAATAACATAACCTTTCAACTAATTATTTACTTGCTTAGGACACTAATTACTATCAGATGATTGTTAATGGGGTCATTCCATATAGAACCTACCAGCCATGCAACCGCCGGACTCAGATTTTGATGATAATATTTTTCTTGGTCAGACCACCAAATAATGAACTTCTGCAAATTATTAGGTCTCAAATCGAAAAACTCACTGAGGTATGAATTTTTGAAGTTTTAAGAGTTTTCAAGAAAGTGACGTTTCGAACTTCCGAGAAAGAGAGGGTCATTTTTCCCTATAAAATTCACACCGGGCCCATTATTCGTCGGATTGAAGTGAAAATTTGACACAATGTCAATGAAAGTATGTAGATTTGAGAAAAAAATGCGTGAAATGTTCGACTTCACTCATTGATGTGCTGCGGTTGATTGTTTGTTGTGATTTTGTCTGATTTTGGCACCAAAACCTTCCCCTCTTCAAATGCCCATAACTTTTGGGCTGCAGGTCATTTTTTGCTCCAATTTTTTTTAAAATGCTCCTAAGAGTATTAGAAAGACGGCTAAAGAACAATTCTGATGGTGTTTTGGGCTTTCGTATCTTTTTTTTTCACTTTTGTCCAAAAAAGGCGTAAAAAACTGAAAATAACACCAAAATGATTCCGATAATCGTCCATTACCCTGAAAAGTCAACTCAAAAATCGCTCATTTTTTGCCTGAATGGTCCTTACTGTGTGTACAAAATGTTTGAAAAATACAATCAAGGCGTAAAAAAGGCGCATCCCGTTCCCCGCGACCCTCTGAGAGCGGTTGCGCCCTCGGTTGCCCTTGGCGGCTCGCTCAAAAGTGCGAGAGAGATATAAAATCGCCTGGCGAGACGCTTGGGTGTGCGAGAGAGATATAAAATCCCACTGGCGGGACGCTTGGGTGTGCGAGAGAGACAGAAAACAGCCAGGCGGCTCGCTCAAGTGTGCGAAAAAGATAGGAAATCGTCTGGCGGGACGCTTGGGTGTGCGAAAGAGACAGAAAACAGCAAGGCGGCTCGCGCATAAGTGCGGGAGAGAACGAAAATCGCACGGTTGGACTTGCGTTGTTTTTACGGCAAAAGCGCATCGCGTTCCCCCGCGACCCTCTGAGAGCGGTTGCGCCCTCGGTTGCCCTTGGCGGCTCACTCAAGTGTGCGAGAGAGATAGAAAAGACCCTGGCGGGACGCTAATGTGTGCGAGAGAGACACATAACAGCCCGGCGGCTCGCTCAAGTGTGCGAGAGAGATAGGCAATAGCACGGTTGGACTTGCGTTGTTTTTCCGGTAAGGTCGCATTCCGTTAACCCGCGAACCTCTGAGAGAGGTTGCGCCCTCGGTTGCCCTTGGCGGCTCGCTCAAGTATGCGAGAGGGATAGAAAAACGCCTGGCGGGACGCATGGGTGAGCGAGAGAGACAGAAAAAAGCCAGGCGGCCTGGCAGGAGGCTTGGGTGTGCGAGATACCAGAAAAAAACGAGGCGGCTCGCGCATAAGTGCGAGAGAGACAGCAAATAGCCAGGCGGGACTTGGGTGGTTTTTCCGTCAAAGCAGCATCGCGTTTCCCCGCGACCCTCCAGGAGTGGTTGCACCCTCGGTTGCCCCGTTCAAGGGCACCCAGTGCGAGAGAGACAGAAAATCGCCAAGGTAGCAAGCGTATAAGTGCGAGAGAGATAGAAAATCGCCTTGCACGACGCGAATGTGTGCGAGAGACACAGAAAATAGCCCGGCGGCTCGCTAAAGTGCACGAGAGAGACAGAAAATCGCCCAGGTACGAAGCGGATAAGTGCTAGAGAGACAGCAAATAGCCAGGCGGGACATGGGTGGTTTTTCCGTCAAAGCAGCATCGCGTTCCCCCGCGACCCTCCGAGAGTGGTTGCACCCTCGGTTGCCCTTGGCGTCTCGCTCAAGTGTGCGAGAGAGATAGAAAATCGCCTGGCGGGACGCTTGGGTGTGCGAAAGAGACAAAAAAAGCCAGGCGGCTCGCTCAAGTGTGCGACAGAGATAGAAAATCGCCTGGCGGGACGCTTTGGTGTGCGAGAGAGACAGAAAAAAGCCAGGCGGCTCAGTCAAGAGTGCGACAGAGATAGAAAATCGTCTGGCGGGAGGCTTGGGTGTGCGAGAGAGACAGAAAACAGCCAGAAGGCTCGCGCATAAGTGTGCCAGTAAGAGCCAGGCGGGACTTGGGTGGTTTTTCCGTCAAAGCAGCATCGCGTTTCCCCGCGACCCTCCAGGAGTGGTTGCACCCTCGGTTGCCCCGTTCAAGGGCACCCAGTGCGAGAGAGACAGAAAATCGCCAAGGTAGCAAGCGTATAAGTGCGAGAGAGATAGAAAATCGCCTTGCACGACGCGAATGTGTGCGAGAGACACAGAAATAGCCCGGCGGCTCGCTAAAGTGCACGAGAGAGACAGAAAATCGCCCAGGTACGAAGCGGATAAGTGCTAGAGAGACAGCAAATAGCCAGGCGGGTTTTTCCGTCAAAGCAGCATCGCGTTCACCCGCGACCCTCTGAGAGCGGTTGCGCCTTCGGTTGCCCTAGGCGGCTCGCTCAAGTGTGCGAGAGCGATAGAAAATCGCCCAGGTAGGAAGCCTATAAGTGCGAGGAGACAGCAAATAGCCAGTCGGGACTTGGGTGGTTTTTCGGTCCGACCAGCATCGCGTTCCCCCGCGACCCTCCGAGAGTGGTTGCACCCTCGGTTGCCCCGTTCAAGGGCACCCAGTGCGAGAGAGACAGAAAATCGCCAAGGTAGCAAGCGTATAAGTGCGAGAGAGATAGGAAATCGCCTTGCACGACGCGATTGTGTGCGAGAGAGACAGAAAAAAGCCAGGCGGCTTGCTCAAGTGTGCGAAAGAGATGGAAAATCGCCTGGCGGGAGGCTTGGGTGTGCGAGAGAGACAGAGAACAGCGAGGCGGCTCGCGCATAGGTGCGAGAGAGACAGAAAATAGCCCGTTGGCTCGCTAAAGTGCACGAGAGAGACAGAAAATCGCCCAGGTACGAAGCGGATAAGTGCGAGCGAGACAGCAAATAGCCAGGCGGGACATGGGTGGTTTTTCCGTCAAAGCAGCATCGCGTTCACCCGCGACCCTCTGAGAGCGGTTGCGCCTTCGGTTGCCCTAGGCGGCTCGCTCAAGTGTGCGAGAGCGATAGAAAATCGCCTGGCGAGACGCTTGGGTGTGCGAGAGAGACGGAAAAAAGCCAGGCGGCTTGCTCAAGTGTGCGACAGAGAAAGATGGAAAATCGCCTGGCGGGAGGCTTGGGTGTGCGAGGGAGACAGAAAAAAGCCAGGCGGCTTGCTCAAGTGTGCGACAGAGATGGAAAATTGCCTGGCGGGAGGCTTGTGTGTGCGAGAGAGACAGAAAACAGCCAGGCGGGACTTGGGTGGTTTTTCCGTCAAAGCAGCATCGCGTTCCCCCGCGACCCTCTGAGAGCGGTTGCGTCCTCGGTTGCCTTTGGCGGCTCGCTCAAGTGTGTGAGAGAGATAGAAACTCGCCTGGTGGGAAGCTTGGGTGTCCGAGAGAGACAGAAAACAGCCAGGCGGCTCGCGCAGAAGTGCGAGAGAGAAAGAAAATAGCACGGTTGGACTTGCGTTGTTTTTACAGCAAAGGCGCATCGCGTTCCCCCGCGACCCTCTGAAAAGGTTGCGCCCTTAGTTGCCCTTGGCGTCTCGCTCAAGAGTGCGAGAGAGATAGAAAATCGCCTGGCGGGACGCTTGGGTGTGCGAGAGAGACAGAAAACAGCCAGGCGGCTCGCGTATAAGTGCGAGAGAGACAGCAAATAGCCAGGCGGCTCGCGCATAAGTGCGAGAGAGACAGCAAGTAGCCAGGCGGGACTTGGGTGGTTTTTCCGTTAAAGCAGCATCGCGTTCCCCCGCGACCCTCCGAGAGTGGTTGCACCCTCGGTGGCCTTTGGCGTCTCGCTCAAGTGTGCGAGAGAGATGGAAAATCGCCTGGCGGGACGCTTGGGTGTGCGAGAGAGACAAAAAAAGCCAGGCGGCTCGCTCAAGTGTGCGACAGAGATAGAAAATCGCCTGGCGGGAGGCTTGGGTGTGCGAAAGAGACACATAACAGCCAGGCGAACACACATCCAAGAGTCAGTAAATCTGATTTAAATGTGAATAGGGATGCCCACCAGTTAAGGGATACCTGCAGTTTTATTTCCTTCCTTAAAATACCGATCTTAAAGATAGGAGTGGAGGAAAAAACTACTACAACCAAGCATACACTATAACCCTGCCACTCAACTATGCCACTGGTTATCGGTGGTTTTGGTAATTGGCTTATTCCTCTGATAATTGGTGCTCCTGATATGGCTTTTCCTCGTATAAATAACTTAAGGTTTTGACTTTTAGTTCCCGCATTAATTTTTATGTTGGTTAGAATAATTGTTAGGACAGGAGCTGGCACTGGTTGAACTGTTTATCCCCCCCTTGTCTCTGAGATTAACTCATAGAGGCTTATCAGTTGATTTGCTAATTTAATGATGAAAGCTCAAGTCAAGCTTCTCAAGTTAGTATGCTTCCCATACAACAAGAGTCATTTGGTGAAAAATCTGGGCCCCCAATCAATTGCTTTTTAATGCAATGGCCGGTTAATGAGATTTTCCTAGCGTTTTTTTCAGTCAAGCGAGCCTCTCTTGAGTAAAATTGTTGGGAGGAGGGTTGTGGAAACCGAACATACCATCACTATTATTCCCCAGATGCATTTCACATGCAGTTAGAACCATTCAGTAAAAATGTGAGCAATGTTTGAGTTGCTACTCATCCAAAGTTGAGGCCAATAATTGGCGTAAATTCAGTGTTTTTCAGTTTTGCGCGC